GACTTTGTGATGAACTTGCAGTGAAGGGAGTGTTTTGGGGTCGATTCGTGTTCTGTAGTGGAGAGAGAGAGACACGAGATTGGACAAGAGAAAGAGAGAGTCTGGTGAAGGTGATAAGAGTAATGGAGTTGTGTTGGGGTTTTTCTTGATTGTTTTGGAGGAGTTTTAGTTGTGTTTAAGGTTTTTCTTGTGATTGTCTTGGAGGATCTTTTCTTGTTTTTCTGGAGATGATGGTAAAGAAGAGGGTAAGATTGGTTTTTGCCGAAGCATGACGATGCATACGAGCAGGGGGGCTATTCGATATATTGGGGGTACTCGGAGCATAGTATGACGGGATATCTTCGGTACGCACATACGGAAATTGCGGTGATGAGATGCGGAGGAATGAGAACTTTCTGGGTATTTTCCTTGGAAGTGAGAAGAATTTTGATGGAGGTTCAGAGAGATCCGTTTGGTATAGTTTGAGCGTGATGAGCGTGACGCGTGCTTGATGTCGTGACAGATTTACGAGCGCGAGCACGCCCCCGACGAATACAATACGTTAACCCAACACGTACCTACCCATCCACGTCCCGTCATGGGCTGCCCGCTCTACACTCCCAACACAAAGAACTAAGCCACCCGAATTACCGATCATGTTCGTCACCTCGCTCGTCTGGGATTTTTTTTTAATTTCGTGTTGTCTATGGTCCGTTCGGGCAAATATTCACAATATTTTCCCCTGCACAAAGGTGCACTTTTCTCGGGGTGGGGGTACTTATTCCGAAATCTGAAAATACCGCGTGAATCGGCGTTTCAAGGCGCATCTGCGTGCGGAGATATATATATATATTTTTCGTCCTTCGCTCGATATGTTCAGATATTCAAGAACTCTTGCTTACTTTCTGGAGGGCGGTGTTTTTTGCAGACACAAAATCTGAGACCGGAACTGGACAGCTCTCGTGATTTGCCACCGATGATTTTTTTCCGATTTCCAATTTGACAAAAAATAACGGAGTTATGGGCAAAAAACCGGATATTGGAGGGTATTTTGCATAGTTTCTTGGAGAAAATCCAACCGTACGATTCAAAAATAAAGTGCTGCAATCGATTCCTCTCGTGATTTCCCACCGATGATTTTTTTCCGATTTAAAAAACTCGGGTTTCGGAGATATATATTTCGAGTGGTTTCACACGCCCTCGGGGAATTTTTCCCCGCCACACACACACCAGAGGACACACACACACACACCCTTTACGCACGCAACGAAAGACGCACACGCGCTCCGGGCACATGGGTCGCCCAAAGGGTAAGCGCAAGCTGCCAAGGAACGCCGACGGCACGATTCGGAAGGCCCCTTCGCCCCCTGCGGACCCTGCTGTAGGCAACGACTCTCCTCCCTCTTCCGACCATGAAGGCACCAATATTTCTCCCATGCACACCAA